AATTTGAACAGTAAACTATTTTTGCCTCAAATTCGCAGTCTAGCCAGCACCCACATTTTCATTATTATTTTTTTATTCTGTTTTTTTGGGGAAGTGGTTCAATGTAAAAAATATTTTTTCAGTCTTAAAAAATATAAAAAATGGCAAAAATGAAAAGTGCATGACTGTGGTCCCAAATAATTCATTAATTTTAATAACAAGTTGTTATCAAACAATCGAAAAATAATGACAGACACAATTGTATTTAACATAATTGATTGAACAAACAAAAAATAAAATACCATTATGTCAATTAAAACGCAACACACTGACTGAGTTTTCGATTCTTCTCAGACTTGTGGGTAACATTTTCAACGTGTTTGAACAATGTATTTCAGATAAACAATAACACTCTTTGAAACACGAAATTCCTATTTTTTGCACTGTTTTGGGTATGTGTATTGCTTTTAAAACAACACACCGTTCAAAAGCCGAGTCTCCAAATTTTGTGATTCCTTCGTGCATTTTTACACTCTCAAGTCTGACACAATTTTTGAACATGAAATTTCGTATTTTTTGGAGTGTTGGTGGCAACTCGATTTCACACAGAGATACCAAATTTGCAAAAACCAAGTGTTTATCAAGTGTAACATTTTCATTCAAATTAATTCGACTTAAATTTGTACATCCCACAAAAGCACCCATTCCTATACAACTGACGCTCAAATCAAATTCAACAGACACAAGCGTGTCACATCCCGCATAACATCTGCCAGGTATACTATCAACAACATGTGGCACTTTGATATTCTTCAATTTGCACAATTTGATGAGGTACTTGTCAATATAACATGAATGTTTTGAAACCACAAATTTTGGGTAATTTGTGAGATTTTTGCATCTCCACAATGCAAAGTCGTCGATTTCAATATACTCATTTGGTGTTGCAATTTCAGTCAAAGCTATCAGATTTGCAAAACACTTATAAGGTAAACTGTTTATTGTTTCAGGAAGTTTAATGACACTTATGGAAGTCAGATTTTGAAATGCACCAAATCCAATTTTTGTGAGTCCATTTGGTAGTGTCAACTGTGTTGGTGTCCGTATTGTGTGGTCTTTGAAACAGAAATCGCCAATTTCACAAATTCCGCCCATCCTGTCAAAATCAAAATATGCATTTCCTTGGAAAGTTCTATCATCCAATATAAAGACTGCATTACATGTGCTGTTTTCATTATCTTTGTATTCCTTATACTCCCGTCTGTTTACATAGTGAGGGCTTGTTGTTATGTTATTGAACTGCTTATTCCACAACTCGTTCCAGACAGTAGTTTTAATCAACAAATCGTGATTCCAAAAAGCGATGTCTATATGAACTTCTCGATACTCAAAAGTGTCTACGTATGAATCTATATTAAATTCTTCTGTGTTATCAAGTTTTTCTTTGTAACAAATGGGATAATCAACCACTATGTTTTTCCCTTTAATTGCTGAGTCACATTTCTTTGAAATGCCTAGAATATGGTCCAACACCAACGACTTTAAATGGATTTTGTTTGTTCCATTCAATTGTAAAGAACACGAATGACTAACAGTAAGGCCAGTCAAAGTACTTGGAAGGTCAAAATTAATGTAATAACAGTTGTCCAAGTGTAAATCTTTGAGATGAAATCGACTCAAGTCGAATTGTTTGTACGACTTTATATATCCGCCAATACTTGCAAGTTCAAGTTGTTCCAAACACTCCAAATTATAATTCAAAAAATATGTTGTCCATTTGAGTTTTAAGTATTTCAATCGAGAAAATTCCATGACTTTTGGTATAGGTTTTGGTGTTTCAGTCACTTCCAATACTTTTGTTGTGACTGAATTGTAATATCCAAAGCTCAAAATTACCATCTGATTTGCCACTTCTTCAAGAAAATCCGAGTCGTATTCGTTGGTTGCGTCATCGAAAAAGAAGTCGAAATCATGCCAAGTATCCAAATATCGTGTTACAAAGGTCTGTTCTATTAATATATCACTATTTTCGACACAACACAGCGACACGTTTTCTGTTGGATCACAAATTACTTTATCTGTCTCTTTTGATATTTTTATTATAACATTTTCTTTGGTCTTGTTGTGTATAACAACATCTTTGCATTCTATTTCTGACACGTCAACATGTTGAGTATTGAACAATTCAGTGTTATTTATCACCACTTCATCAAAAAACAGGGCGTATTTACTTGAAAACAATGTGAGCTTTTCTATTTGTGTGCTGTCTATTTCAACACTTTTCTTCATATTTCTGAACGACACTTTGTAGTCTGACGTGCTTGATTTGTCAAGAAATGCACTGAAATTGTTTATTGTCTGTATCACAACGTTAGCACACTTGCACAACTTCTGATACATTTCTAAATTTGTCATGTCAAATTCTTCGTTATTTAAATAAAAGCAGAAAACAATTGTGGGTGCACCTTCAGTAAAAATTAACAACTTTTCCATGTGTAAATTGTCGTTCGAGAAAACTCTGATTTTCGTCAAGTTTTTAAGACTCCACAAGACGTGTTTGTTTTGAACCAAAATGTCCCACATCTCTTTCAAATCGTCGTTTTCATATATCGAAATTTCTTCGCATGATTCACACAATTCACACTTTGATATAAAGAGAGTGGCAGTTTCTTTTGAGTAAACAGCCAACGTTTTCATCTTTTTAATTATCTCGTTTTGAAGTGAAAAATACGATTTCTTATTTATTGTGTAATTTGAAATGTTGTAAAAGCAGATGTTAGTTTTGTGAAATTGTTCTGAATCGTCTTTGTGGATCAAAGTCCAACTTTGTTCATTGAGAGATTTCACTTTAATGTACGAAAAATTTGAGAGACTTATTTTGGGAACTAAACATTGATAAGAAGGTAACAACAAAGTTTTGATGTTTGGGAAGAATTTTTTAATTCGAGAAATATAACACGAGAACCCGTTTGTTGGGTTTTTGATGGTGTAGCACTGAAATTTGTCAGAAATGAGAGGATTAATTTGCATCCGTTTTAATACATTAACACATTTCGTGTTGACACAAGAAAATGACGTGAGCGTGTTAAAAGTGTCTAAATACAAAACGACATTCATTAAGAAAAATTCTTCAAGTTGTTTTGACATTTGCTTTATCAGTTTTAAAACTAGTTTAAATGTTTTATTGTAAGTATGAATCTTGACTTAACTTTAAGGAAATCAAGACTTGTTTAATATCAATTTTGAATAGAAAATTTGATGTAAAAATAAACTTATTGTTGAATTACAACAATATCAAAGTCGATATTACAACAAATATATTCAGAGTTTGTTATCTTACCAAAATAAATTGTCAACATTTTAGTTTAAAAAACTGGAATTTTATAAAAAAAATCAAGAAAATGGGGGAAAAACTGAAAATAATTACCTTTGAAAAATAACAAATATTAAAAACATTAATTGTTTTTTTGAAAAGTTTATTATTTGTGCAATTTTAATTCAAATTAAGTCAAATAAATTGTTATAATCGTCGTCTTTGAAATGAACTTTAATTTTAATAATCAATTTAATAAAAAAACACTAAATCGATTCTAAAAAAGACAACACTGTAATGTTGTTATACAATACAGTCGATATTATATATTGTTGTCAAACACATCATGTAGTTAATAACAAGTGCCTTCCTAGCTCAGTCGGTAGAGCGTGCGGCTTTTAACCGTAAGGTCGGGGGTTCGAGCCCCCCGGGGGGCGTTTTTATTTTTCTTTTTTCTTTTTTTTGATTTTTAGGTTATAAACAATATAAACAATAACAATTTAAGAAGCATTTGTGGTCTAAGGGCAGAATTCCACCCTTCCAAGGTGGAGATCCGGGTTCGAGTCCCGGCAAATGCATTTTTATTTATTCAAAAACTTATTTTAAATGTATTTGTGTATTGAAAATAAAAACGACAACGGCAGGATTTGAACCTACGCCTCAAATGAGAAATGATTTCGAGTCATACGCCTAGGACCACTCGGCCACGTTGTCTTATTGACATTATCTTTATATTCTTCTCATGTTAATATTTAAGTGTGTTGTTAAAAATTGTTTCATAATAAATCTTTTATATATAATTTTTTATACTAAAGTAGTTTATTAAACTAATAATAAAACCAATGAAAATATAGTTAAATATCAAAAAATTCAGAGTTATAATAAATTTTTAAATTTTTAATATAACTTTTTTATTTCAATTAAAAACAATAAAATTACTATTTTAATTTGTTATTATTATGATTATAATAATCATAATAATAATTATTAATTATTACAATAAACAATAACATATGTTTATTTATAATAAAAATATAATATATAAATTGATTTGTTTATATTAAACTAAACTAATATATATAATTATAATTTCCCCTTGATTATTTTTGGGACCTACATTGACCACCACCACCACCTTTATCAAAAAAAAATATTTGCCGCGAGTGTTTTTTGAAGGAAGTCCACTTTTCAGCCACTGTTTGTGCGTCCCCATGTCGCCCACTTTCCTTGTCCGTACTGTGTGGACGCGGATGTGGTTCCCCCCCGCTTGCGGGGGGGTCAGGGGGGATCCGCGCCAAGGGAGGACTTGGAAAGTGGGTGAAACGGTGCACAAACAGACTGTTTGAGTGCGTCTTTATGAGCCTTCTTTTCAATGCTCCGTCTTTCTCGGTTTCCACTAACTCGAGGTGAATTTTCGGCATTTCTTGAATTCGGGAACCAGACCTAATATCTTCCAATTTTCCTATTTACTATAATTTTAATTTGAATATGATTCGAAATAGAAAAAATAAATCTATTTTAAGAGGTGGTGGTCAATGTAGGTTCCATTATTTTTTGAATAAAACAAAATCTAAAAGTGTAATAAATAAAACCAAATAATCAAACAAATGAAAAAACAACAAAAACTATAAACAACTAATAAATTAACTACTAATAAACTAATAAAAAACCTACATAAAAAGAGCGTTGAGAGAACTAATAAAGTGTGATGGAGAATTATCAAGGAGCAGTTCGACAATACAACAGTGTTCATTCTCGAATGATGATGATGCGGAAAGAGCTTTATCGCATTGAGATGGTGTTGAGTGAACTTGAGGTGCCTCCAACAAACACGTACGTGGCGCTTGGGAAGGCTTTTGTGTTGTCTGACTGCGACTACCTCAAGAAAGATATATCCGAGAAGCGTGACACTCTTGACAAAGACATTAAAAAACTCGAACCAATGGATGTCTCTCTCGCCAAAAAAGTCAATGAGGCACAAGAAGAAATTATCAAACTCGCAAAGCAAAAGGCTCTTTGAATAACATTTTTAAAATTTTTAAATGTTTTATTAATTTTTTTTTTCTTGAGAAAACAAAGACTAAGAAACTTTTCAAGTAAATAACAATTTTTTTAAAATTTTAATTTATTTATTTATTCAATTATTCTATTTGATAAATATAGTAAACACTTCATTTTGAGGTTTTTTTTATGGTTTATAATAAGCAATTTAAAAATATAATTTACTAAACTAAAAATTTAATTAAAAAAAATAGAATAATATTAATTGTAAATATATAATTTGGTTTAATTATACTTAAAACATATTCACTCAAGATTGTTCAATTTTATAATAATTGGAACTAATGCTTAGTACTTTTTATTTTACTATTATTTTATATAAATTAATTATTATAACAACAATTAAAAATAACAACTTGGTTAATTTAACAAATGAAGACACTTTTCGAATATTTATTCCATTTTTTGACCTCTTATGTCGATTTGTAATTTTAAATTCTCCGTTGTTTTAATTGTATATTTATAGATATTTTTTACTATATATTATTGTTAATTTTTCGTTTTTTATATTAAAAAATAAAAAAGAGCTAGTTGATAAAACCTTCTAAATAATTATAAAATTAATAATAAAATAATAGTAGTGAAACAGAACTTCTATAATACAAGTCATTCCATAAAAAAAACTCAATGACAAGTTTTAAATAATATAAAAATAGTTAACAACAAATCTCAATCCACTAATTTTTCTAAATAGTATTAAATATATATTATAAACTATTGAACATGATACAATAAATTCAACCAATAAATTCATAACTCTTAAAATAGCTTAGATGCCAAAAGAATGTGCTCTCTTTAATAAACTTTATTAAATAAACTCAACTTGTAATAACAAAATGGAGAAGAAGAGTCGCCTTGTCCGGTCGACGACGTTTGTGTCCTTTGAAAAAGGTAGAACACTAACATCCACAAACCAAACGAACCCAATTACTCCTCGAAAGTTGCCATTTTACAACAACTTTTCTTCAACAACTGAGGATCAAGAGTTTCTTTCTCAACCAAATCAGCCCACATCCGTTTGCCGGCGAAGAACAGTGGGAACTACAGCGCCTATTAAATTTAAGATGGTTCCAAAACACAAATCTGTTAACACTGATGGATGTGTTAACCAAACATGTCCAACACCACGCATATTTGTTTTAACTCACGCGAACTGAAGCTTTTTCAGTGCCGTTCGTTCCACTCGGATCGATCTCAATTCATCACTTTCATGGAACAAACCATTTCGTTCGCAATGTTAATTTATTTGTTTAGATAAATTACTATTAATATTTATTCTATTATTTAGTCTATTAAACTGTATTAAAAAAATAGTATAATTAATAACAATCAACTACTTTACATTTGTGAAATATGTTGTATGAGTTTGTAATAGATTTTTGAACTATTTGATTTTGTATCTTTTGCAATGGTGGAACGACGAGAAACAAGAGCGTGATCTGTTCACATCAGTCTGACCAGAGTCCCGTCTTCCGACCCTACGTAAACGGTCAACTCATTGATCAGTAGCGCAGAGACGGAAGAGGGTGACTGATAAATCGTTTGGTTTGTTCCAAACCACCCATTAAAACACTTCAAGTGCACAACACTGTTGCGGTTTGTCGACAAGACGACTCGTCTATTCCCCACTCTCAACGCAGTTATTGCCCCATTAAACGTACGCTGCGAACACACATCATGCTTGCGCTCGTCATACATCTCGATGTTTCCGTTGTCGCATGCATAGACTAAGTAGTCGCCGAATGTATCAAACAAAAGAGGCTTATACTTGTGGCGGAACGTGGTGAACGCATTGCGTTTGGCACGTCTGTCGTATCCAACAAGCCTCCCACTCTTCCCCAAAGTAATTATCAGTCCGTTATCTCCTTCGTCAACACCACAGATGCCAGTCAAATCAGGTTGGAATGTTTCAATGACTTTGGCGACATTCAAGTCGAAGATCGAGACGTTCAAATTCAAATTTCCAACAATGCAATCGCGACTCATACAACTGATGTTTTGGTATTTGGGAATCTGCACCTTTGTGAAGTCTCCGCCATCGATTGAAAATCTGTAAAACAAGTAATTGTCACAAACGAATTGGAACGTATTCTTCTCGTGATTGAAATTGGTGCAGCGGATTTTGTCGCTCCCTTTGAAGGTAAAACGCTTCTCAAAGTCCTTCGAGTACGAGACGCACTTCTTTTCCTTGATGGAAACAGCAACAACCTTTCGTGAATTTGTCACAAAAATGTTGTTCACGGGACTCGAAAAAATCTTCATCGATTTCGGCGCAGTGAGAAGTTTATTAATCCACTTCGACTGCGTTGTTTTGGCCTGGCACACAGCCTTGTAATAAGAAACCTCTGGCGTTATTCTCTGGACGTCCAAAACTCGTTCTCTCCTTCGAAAAAAGGTTGCTGCGTTCATGTGGAGATCAAAGAACATTTTGAACCTTTCGTCGTTCGCCAAAATTTGCGTGCGAAGTGTTTTACAAGAGGCGGAGACACACAACAGACTTTCGAGGGGTAAAAAGTCGAAGATGTGTTCCGTCACGTTTGGTGGAAGTTCAAGCAGTTTCAAAGGTGGGAAAAGGATTTTCTCTTGGCGCTTCAATGTGTATTTAGTCTTCCGTTGCTCTTTAAATACCCTCACCAAATCGACAGTGTTGCTCAGAAGTATTTTCGAGTACTGAAACGGTGACAATCGACTGGGAGATATTTTCATGGAAATTCCGTGATGGAGAACTGCTCTGGAGAGCACAAACGAGCCAATGAAGTTTTTCAGATAGACTTCCAAAATTTGTTTATCCAAGTTGGCAAAGCACGGAGTTGAATAATGATAGAAAAAGTCGGTTTGTGCACAATTGCCAATCCAGTGCACCATGTCGCCTGAAAAGATATTTGAAAAGTGCTCGTGGTCGCACTTTGGTGCGCACGGACAGCTCTCGCTATTCTCAGTTTTACCAAACAGAAACATTCCCCTCTCAACGATGACCGACCCGTATAATATGTCAGTGGTTGCGTTCACATGACTGATGAAAGGAACTGATTTGTGAAAAAGTCTGAGACGCTCTGTGTGCATGAGTTCTCTGATCACAGGGAGTAACATATTTGATTCGATGTACTTCGACCACCGTGAACAGATCTCACCAAACGGGAGTAACGGAAATCTTTCCTGTCCGACGATGATCAATTCACTGTAGTTTGCATTTGCGTAGATGTGGAATATTTCGTTCTGGTAGATTGTGTTTGGGAATGTGATTTTCTCGTTCATTGTTGACACGAAGTTTTTGATGTTCTTCGAGATCATCCAGCCTTCTTCATTTCCACTCAAATAGTCGTTCAGATTATTCACGAAGTATGAGTAATTCCCGAAAAAGAAATCGATTTCCTGCGATAGCATCGGGCGGTACATCATGTTATATATCGTGTATTTAACACCACGTTGTTGTTTCTCACAACAGTGAATTTGAATGAAACGGATTTTGTTGTTGGAGAAACACTTCTGGACAAAAATGACTGTTCCAAGCTGTATGCGAAAGTGATACTTTGAAGTGACTTCATACTCGTCTTCAAATGTGTTTTTAATTGTTGTTCTCAGTGTGTCTTGGCTGATGGGTACGACTTTCTTGATCAACAAATCAAACCCCAACAACTTAATGACATCTTTCATAACAGCTGCAACTGTTGGGAAGTTGTGGTGGAGGAGCGACGAAATTTGGATGAGTGTCACATTGTCCTTCCGCTTCTTGAATAATTGAAGGAAGAATATCGGTGGGTTAAGCACATTTTCAACCTTTTCCCACCCTTTTTCTTCTGTTGGTTGGTCGCTTAGAAATAAGCGGATCACATCCTCAAAATTTTCAGTCGATGAAGTTGTCATTTCTTGGTCTTTTTCTGTTTTTGTATTTCTATTTTTTTCAAAATACTTTCATTTTGCCCAAAAATGTAAGTAAATGTCCCATTTCTGCTAATTTCATTGCCAAGTTTGAATTAGTTATTATAATTATTGTTACTTATTTTTAATTCCTTTAGTATATTATAATATTATAATAGTAATTTATCAATTTATAACTAACATGTTTAATAGAATATTTTTACTATTTATTTCTTTTTACTGTTTTATATATTAATTAACTATTATTATATCATTATAATTATTTTAGATATTTATTAGAGACTCAAATTAAATAGATATAGTTAATTATAATAGTATATATAGTACACGAACAGAGTATAAATAGTAAATTAATAAGACTCCATATGGTTATACACACTACCCTTCTGCAGAACTATGCAGTGTTGAGCTGTGACATAACGTATGCGTTCATGATGAGTCCAACAAATGGACTTCTCTCCAAGTCCGTCTTTGCTGTTTCCTTCTTGATGACCTCAATAGTTTTCACCTCCATTCCCCCTTTTGCCTTATTAAAGAAGTGAAAAGTCGAGTTGTGAGCCATGTAAATGACTTCGAATTTCCAAAGTGGGTAAAACCCCGAGAATTCCAAAGGCAAGACGTCGAGATTTGTGTGATAGATGCCGATGACCTTTTCACTGGGAGGCATCTGCATGAGTCCGACATTCATTGGGAATACGGCCTCGACTATGAAGAGGAGTGGTGTCATTTGTTGACCCAACAAAAGCCCGACAGGATGATTAATAAGTCTACAGTGTAAATCCATGATGAGTAACAAAGCGTTGTCTAAGATGATATGACTGTCATCGAACATTGGGATCTCTTCTGAAAGTTTCAAGCTTCCACATTGTTCAACGTCATTCACTAAAGACGCGGAGCCACTTCTGATCCCCTCCGAGTGGTGCATTGCCATCCCCGTCGCACTCTTTTTCTGTATTCTATTTTTGGATCTGATGTATTTGCCCACTACTGGACCAGAATTAATCCACCCCGCCTTCTCTAAGAAGTTGTGTATCCTCCCAATCGCATTGACATCGCCACAGTCTTTCAGCTTCATGCGGACTTGTGTTTTAGATAAGTAGTTTGGCTTCGACTCATTCCACAAGTCGATGATTTGATTCCGGATCGCCATATACCTTTCCGGCGTTTTCGTGTTGCGGCCCATGAAGAACTCTTGGCACTCTTGCATCTCCTCCGGGAGAACAGTACCTCTGTTATATTCTAGAGTCGTTGAAAAGGAGGACATCGACCCCATCGTATCCGTCGTCTCCGTTGTGCCTTCTGTCATATATGAAGTGTCTTTAGGCGCTGCGCTCTCGCTTTGGAATTGGCCCGATGTGAGTAAATCGTATTCCCTTGGGTACGACGGTTGCGACGGCGCTTCGGACTTTTTGATCTTCTTACTTGATTTGTGAGAAGACGGTTTCGACGACGTAAAACTCGAGAAGAGGGTTCCGATTTTCGCACTTATTCCTCCGCTCTTGTCAATTTCTTCTTGTGAGACTTTTTATTATTCGTCTTTATTTATACTATTAAAGCATAGTATATATACCAGTTGTGAGTGGAATTTACATGTGGACGTTGCTCTGTCATCTCTTGGAAGTCGTGTGCTATAAATAAAAAAAAGTGACAAACTTTCCTCGTCTCGTGTGCTCGGGCTGTCTGTCTCCATATCTTTTTTTGAGTCTTTCTTAAAGAATCCAAAGTGGATTTTTTTGTCGTCCTCTTCCATCTTTTTTCTAAGTTCTTCTTATTTTTTGCTTGGGACACTATTTTTGGCATATTCGAGAATCTGGTATGGTTCTGTGTTGGTATTTTTACTATATTATTATAGTTGCCTAAAATTTGAACCAATGTTCATTCTTTTTCTTCATTTTTATGGAAATGGATTATCATTAAATCCTCATTATTCGAAGGGAAGTGTCTCTTCGGCATATCAATAATGGTTTATTGAAGATTTTAAAAACTATATATTTTTACTTTAATAGTAACATTGTATGATATTTTTAGCTTTGTTTTTTATAATTTTTGAACTATAATTTTAATTATAAAACAACCAATTGACTGTTTCAAAAAAATTTTTTGAAATTTTTTTTAAGGTCTGAAAATTGAATAGGTTTTTGAAATTGGTTATGTAAAAAAGAATTGTAAAGTATTATTCATTATTATTATTGATTATTAATATTATTATAATTATTATTATAATTAATTATCTTGCAAATTACATTTTGAATGGTTAAAAACTATCTTTCAAATAGTTATAATAATTAATTTTACTATTTTTAAAATAGTATATTTTAAAAAATGTATATTTCTAAAAAAATATAATTAAATATTAAGTTACCATACCATATAGTTTTATAATAGTTGTTTTTACCATACTGTCACGATATTTTTATCGGAATAATATAATTATAATTCACCGTCCAAAAAAGTATTAACCACTGGTATTGTTCAAAAGCATCTCCGATAAACCACCTTCTAATAAAATTGATCACTTAAATAGTTCTTTTGACTCCGAAATATTTCTTAATGAGGTATGTCTGAACCAGGGACATAGCCAAAATCAAAATTCCCTGGAAGATGAAGAGGTAAGTGCTCCACGAATACGCTTCTTGCAACACTTTTCATTAGTTAATTATAATAGTTTATTAATAGTTTATTAATAATATGATACCTTTATAGTATATAGATAGTACACTTTAATAAACAGTAGTCACAAACTATCTTGATGCATTTGATTCTTAAGTTGGAGCATCACAACTTCGATTCTTGCGTGTGTCAACAGATGTGTCAATTCCGTCGACAACTTCTCGACTTTATCTGCTTGTTCATCGTTAGCAAGTGTATCATGGGACGAGAAGTCCATGAATAAGGCGACTGTTCGCGCACTTCCAAATGAGGAGAATTTATTGCTCAAACAGACTTTATAAACTCCGCCAACAGGGGCTTCTTTGTCGATCATGCCACTCGATTGTTGTTTCTCGCCAACAAATATCTCTCCATTCGGGTTATACATATTAAAGTCTATATCATTGTTCCCTCCTTCAACAACTTCTTGTCAACATCTCGTACCTTCTCTTCCTAAAAAAATTCACAAACCTTGATAATAGATCGCTATATGTGCTCCTTTGTCTAATTTCTCCATGAAACATTCCTCCTTTCCACCAGCTATCTCCGTGGTAAACCCACTCACTGCTGAAATTAATAGTAAAACACTCAACATGGTTTGATTTTCAAGATCTCATCTGAGTCTCATTTTTCTCACTGACTAAAAAAAGTCACTTCTTTGGGGAGTCTGGGATACTATTTTTTATAGCTTATTTTATTATTATTTTATTATTCGGATATATGGCAATTTTAGTATATTTTTACTATATTTATAGTTTCATTGTTCATATCAAAGAAATTGTATTTGTGAACACAATAAAAATATCAATAGTAATTTATAATAATACTTTAATTATAATTATATTATCCACATTACAATATATTAGAATTAAAATTATGTTAAAAACTATCATTTTGTTCAATAGAAAAATATTCTGCTCTAATAAAAGAACACACTAAAAATATTCCGCCAAAATGAATCATTTTTACAATCACGACGACTGACCGGAATAGAGTTAATATTAAATTAAAACACACTTGGCATGAACCCGTCGTCTTCTTCCTTTTCTTCTGTTGGATGGTGATCTGACGACTTGTTGTTTTCCTTTTCCATCTTTGCGATGATGATATCGTTAAGTTGTTTATTTTCTATTTTGACAAACTCGATGTATTTTTGTGACTCTTTAATTGAGGCGGCAAGTACTGCGCATTCCTTCTCCTCTTCTTCAATCAGTTTTTCAGTTTCCGTGAGAGTTTGAAGTATTGCCGTTTGGAGATTTTCACTCCCGCGCAATCCACTTGGCCCGGATTTTACGGAATTTCCATAACAAATGAAAGTGAGTTTGTGTAAGATATCACCCAAAAAGAGAGTGGTTGCCTCGTTTTTTTGTTTTTCTATTTTTAAACTTTCCTCCAATGACTCAATTTTTAATTTGTCAAATTTCTTTGAAGTTGTTAATTCCTCATTCGCCTTTTTGATTATTTTTTTCTTTTCTTTTGCGGCGGCAATGAGTTTTGTCAGCTCACTGACATCTTCCGCGTTTTTCTTTAAAAGCTCCGAATTTTGAGATGTGAGTGTTCGAATTTTTTGTTCCATTACAAATTTTGTTTTTTCATTGGCGTCGACTTTTTCCTTCAGTTGATCGTTTTCGTTGCAAAGTTCCTCAAGGGCGTGCTGCATTTGTAATCGCATCTCGGACGTCTCACTTTCTGTTGCGTTCAATTGAGTTAGCATTTCCTGCATGACATATTTCTGCTCCTTTGGAATTTTGTCCGCCAAAGTATCCGACATGAAATTGCACCATTTTCAAGTTTCTTTTTAAGATGATTTGAAAACGTTCTTTGATTACAATAAAAAATAAGATAACAAACACTTTTACTTCTTATTTTCTTTGTATTTTTATTTATACAGTAAAAATTCTATCGGCGTGTGATTCCATCCGTGTGTGACTCTATCGGTGTGTGGTTTTGACCAATCAAAAGTTGCCTACACACCGATAGAATATAATGATTTCCCACATATTTGGGACCAAACCCCGCAAAAATAATTTCAATTGCAAATTTGTTTTTATTTTAAAAGAGTAAAGACTTGGTAATAAAAACTTAAAAAGAGAAAAATTATCAAACAAAAATAAATTCAAAAAAGATAACAGAAGAAAAGCATAAAATGCTCTTCAAAAAATATTAAACTTAAAATGATAATAAAAAATGCACCGACTTCCACACCAATCACAAGAGCACGCTTGTGATTGGTGTGTGGACAGAATTGATACCACAAAACTTAACAATTTCAGCAAGGAAGTCACAGATATTTTCGACACATGCAGACAACCAGCCTGGCGTGCTCATCCAAGTCTTTGAGGGCGAGGCATATATGACATCACATTGCAACCTGCTTGGAAAGTTTGGGTTGTTTGGTATCTTATTAGCACCACATGGAGTCTCACAGTTGAAGTCACATTTGACACAAATGCAAATGTGATTCTGAATGTGTCGGCTGAAAACGAGACAACGGGAAAGAAGATTCTCAAAGGCACAAGTGGACAAGATGGTTGCAGACGCAAAGAAGTTCAAGGCAAAGGACGACAAGATGATGAATTTTGAGGCTAAAAATCGACTCTCACCTTATGCTACCGTGTAATAACACGGTGAACAAGCAAATTTTTTCAAGGTTATCAACAAAAGACAAAGAAGCAATTGAAGCAATTATCAAGGTACACTCGAGTTGTAAATTGACAAGAATCCGCACCAAAAATCCACGTGTTTATACAAAAACACAATGCGTTGTTCTTATTCTAAACAATTAGACAAATTAAAAATTCACAATATTATGTTATGTTTACACGTGTCGCGTTTTTTTTCATAAAAAAACAAAAAATACATTTTGTCATTTTTCTAGATTGTGGATAGTTTTACAAATTTCATTATTTTTTAGTTTTTTTGCCAGAAATTAAAAAAAAAGAAAAAAAAATTTACACACCTTGGGAAAACCATTTTCATGACTCCACACACCGACAGAATTTTTACTGTATTTCTATTTATTTATTTTTTTAAGAGTCGTTAATAAATAATAAATCATTACAACTATATATTATAATTTAATGTATTATATATTATAGTTAAATACTATAATTTAAATAACCACACTTGAAATTAATTTTTATGTATTTTAAGAATTCAATTCAATGAACAATTATGAACTATAAATAATTAATATTTTATTTATATTTATAATATATACAGAGGTTTCCAAAATCACAATCCTAATTACCCACGTCACCATTTTATAACCAAAATGTTCATTTTCTCTTATAAATTCGTACATTATAATACCACATTTTCGGCAATAAATATTTTGGAAACGCCTGAATATATATTTGTAATTTATAATATAGTAATAAACTATTATAAGAAGTAAAACGTCTTAAAACCATTTTAAAAAAATGAACGATATGTTTTAAATTAACGAGTTTACATATAAATTTAGCGATATTAAATTACTTCATTAAAAAATTATAAAATGGAAGAAAAAGTCGAAATTTCAAGTAAAAGAGCTCGTTAAAAAACGTACAACATAACAATCAATACAATTTCCTACAAAATAGCGCAGCATCCCCCATGTTTTTTATCACCATCGTTTTCTGGTTGTTCCGGTGGTACTGCGTCCTCGACTGTTTTTTTCATGAAAGCTTTAGCCAAGTCGTTATTTTCATAATTTAGGGTATCATGGTTGAGTCTATTTTCGTCCGCAAAGGCTTTTGCCTTATTGAGTGTTGCGTTATTTTCTGGAGCGATAGTACCGAACCCCAAGATGTTAATAGAGACGTCTGGATCGCAATATCTTTGCACTTCGCGAAGCCAAAATTGTAAGGCGGTGACACTCTCCACGTTAGATAGTAAATATGTCAGAAAGACCTTTTTGGTGTGTTTAAAGTAGGTGGTAGTAAGACTTCTATACTTGTCTTTACCATCGGAACACGCGAGAGATAATCGAGTTTGTCGACCATTGATAGTCGCTTCACAGGGTTTCACGTCATCGTCTGTGGCTGCAGTAGTAAAGACCGTCTCTATGGATTGAAGATATAAATCAACAATGCGCTGTGAAGGACTTTTGTCGTTTCCTATGAAAATCATTTTCACGTCGAAAGCGGTGTCTACGTCATTTAGTTCACTGTCCATAGTAACGGGGTAGTCTTTTTTCAAGTTGAAATATGTGATGGGACATCTACCCATTTGAAGGCTAAATGTCGGGATTGAAGCCTCTTTTTTCTCTTCAAAAAGAGTAAAAATTCGGCACTTATATTTTTGTTTTTTTGTTTTTCCCTCGTGTTTTAAAATAGCTCCACTCGTCTTTGGTAGCATTTCTCTTTTCTTGGTAATATATTATTATTTATTTATTAGGTATTGTAATTGAAAAGTCTTTTTTATTATTAAAACAAAGGTGATTAAAGAAACTGAAAAGTGGAAAAAAAAAACAAAAAATGGTTTTGAATTTTTTGTTATTTAAAAGTAAAGAAATAAATAACTAAAAACTCAACATATTTTGAGTTTTTTGTTTTCTTAGAAATATTTTATAAAAAACGATTATTTTATGTGGAGAGTTATTAGCATGTATTTTAGTTGTGTTGTAAAAAACTAACAATTACTGGTTCTTAAATAATAAATATATAATTCCAATTAATTCTATTATAATATAATTAGTTATGTCAATAATTTGATATTGTTATTTAATTGATTAATATTTATCATAATTATAATATAATGTCAATAGTTTATATAATTAATTCTATTACTACTTTTTTTACAAATGATTTTATTAATATTTATAATTAAATGTGTCAAAATTATTATATAAAAAAGATAAGTAAATTATCCAAAATATATTTTCATTTTTATTTATTTTAAAAAAAAATCAAGTAATCTAATAATCGGGAAATATCAAGTTTTATTTTAAGCTGTTTTCAAAATGAAAGTGTAGCAATAAAAGTAGAACTTTATACACTAACTATTGTTATTGAATTATTGAAAATTGGCATTTAATGGGTGCCCCATTTGAATTTAATGTAAGTGTTGTGGTGTTATCAAAATACATGTGTTTACTGTTGTGTCTTGTAATATGAAAAATAATAAAATGATAGTCAAGAACAATAATTGTATATAATATCTCACTTATTAGTATTAATAAACAAATAGTTTTTGAATGAAAAATGAAGATATCGAAGTAGTTACATTATGAAATAAATAAAAATTATTTATATTTGATTTTTCTTTTCAACAAAATATCAAACCGAATACACAAAAAATATTATTGATAATTGAAAATAACAATCTCATTAACAGTTGATATTCAACTGTAATTTTTATTTAACGATTACAGTTGTATAAAAATATTATATATTTGTTTTTAATTTTATCGTTTAATCATGTTGATAACTTTTGTGTAAATATCTGAAAACACTTCTTTTTTAAAAGTTAATTAATTATTATTTTTCTGCTTATAAATAAATTATTTTTGTATTGCATATCAAATATTTAAATATTTATATACTTTAATTATATATATAATACAGTGTTTATTGCTAAAAATATGTGGTATTCACCAAATACATTATTGTTACTACCGCATTTATTATATATTTACAATATATTGTTAATTGTGTATCCCCTGTTTTTGAATTAAATATGTCAAGTCTGTGAAATACTCACATAATTATTATTTACATTTTTAACCTTTTATGTGATACATCGATGTTATTATTAAACATTCAAAACAACATTAAATATATTAATTAATATGTATTGTCTAATTAATGTGTTACACTTTTGTTGTTTTTGTTATATATTCAAGCATATGCCGCTCAATAAATAACATAATTTGTGTATATTTGACTTGACACAAATATGTTATATTAAAATGTGAATTCGGTCGAGCAAATAACTCACATGATAATTATTAAAAAATAAAATTGATAAAATCGTGTGGATAATCTAAATCGTAAAAAATAATTAAAAAATAAATTTGATTTTTTATTCTTTTTGAAAATATGGACATGATTATATCATAACAATTAAATTTTTCTGCTTTTTGATTGTTTTATATTTTTTTGATATTCAAAGTATTTTTTTTGAATAAATAAAATTATGATGACTTATTTTATGGTTTAGAATAATTATGTTTTTAAAATAGAAAAAATACTATTAAAAAATAGTTTTTAATATATATTATAATTGTAAAAAATCGATGACGTGGGTATTTTCGAGTAAAAAATGGCGGGTGACTATAATTTGAAACATTATATTATTTTAAAATACTTTTGACTTTATTTGATACAATTTTATTTATTTTGAAAAATAATTGTTTTGAAACAGAATTGAAAAAATATGCATTTTTGATTTATTTTGAAACATTTTGTATTTGTTTTGAAACAAAGTTAAAACAAAATGAAACTAACCGTAACTAAAAAATCATATTATAATGTTTATTATTAATAAACTAATAATTAACAGTTATATATTTATACATCACTGTAATATATATTATTTATAAAAAATAATATGAGAATGAAAAATTAAAAAGACAAAGTCTTAATTATACATTGTAATGAGTCAAATTATTTTGTTTAAAATAGTAATATGTATTAAAATGTATAATACATAGTTAAATACAAGTTATTTGACAAATTTGAAATTATTATCAAACTATTCTAAAAATTTAATAATTTTCATAATATTATTGTTTGTAGTTTTTCCCGTTTATTATATTTGTATTATAAACATAGTTTAGTTTATTAATACAACTAGTAAAAAAGTACGAAAATAAAGTCAGTGAATTTTCTTAAGACATTTCATTAAAAACCCAAATGATCAGGTGTTGTTGTTGTAAAGCAATACTTCAACAAAACATTTTTTTTTGAACAGAAAAAAACATTTTCTTCTTTTCAAGAACACGAAAAAAAAACGTTAAAAAAAAAAACCAAAAAATCCGTTTTGCCGTCCGATATATTTTTCCACCAATTTTGTTTTCTTATAGAAGTGGAACTGTTGTATATTTGGCTTTTACTTAGTAATTTGAAGTAGTAACACTGAAAGGCAAGTCAGCTCTTCCCCCAAAAATACTCTTTTACTGTTTTATATATTGATAGAACACAGATATTAGAATATCAAACACTTTTAAACACCAATTCTCGCCATCTATAAAAAGAGGGTTCTTCCTCTGGAACTGATAAAAATTTCGATGTCGTCCCAGAAATTGCGTAAGACGAAATTGGACCAGACACAAATAGCAAACCAAGCGACGCCACAACTCGGGCAATCGACTTTGGGTGCAGCCATTGATTTTGACGCTCAAAGTGTTCATTCGAGTGAAGACCAGAGTATTCCCGACGTCGCAACAATAGTCATAACTGAGACTGTGAATGAGAGTACTGCTCCAACTGCCCCCCCTAAGCGTCGGGTAGGTGTTCCCGTGACTCGAAATTCATTGATAACACCACCAAACGAAAATTTTCAAACGAAATACTATGGGGAATGCCCATTCTTTCCTAAACACCCCCCAGAAAATATCACTCAAGTCTACGTCACGTCCGGTAACGTCTTTTTGATCTGTGAAGACGCCGTCTACGCAACTGGCCTTGTCAACTTCAAAGAGAAAAAGACGACGGACGTCCCTTTTATAGCGAAGTGTATACCCGTCGGCGTCCGGCAGATCACGGGAAACCACAAGAAGGTCCTTATCCTCATCGAAGGGAAAGTTTACACGTGCAGTAATTTGGAAGACCAAAACTGTTTAAAACGAGTTGGGGAGTTACTTGGTGTCACACAAATAGCGTGTTCCGAAGATCATTACGCAGCTTTGACTACACTTGGGGATGTGTATTTATGGGGAGCCAATACATATGGGGAGATTGGGAAAGATCGTGTTGTTTCCATGGAGCGACCGACCCGTGTTAAAGAGTTAGATGGTAAAAAAGTTATTAAAGTAGTCTGTAGTAATGGGTATACTGCCTGTCTGACTGACACGGGTGATATCATTTCCCTTGGGGAAATGACTTGGAAAAATCCGACGAAGGTGGTTGACGTGATAGCACTCCGAACAAATTTGTGGGGCTTAACAGTAGATGGGCGAGTCATATCTGATGAAGGGAATTATATTAGTGGGGATTATACTGTTGGACGGATAACTGAAGGGTTAGGGTCTTTAGTTGGTGATTCCAAAGGGCTTTTATTATCAGTTAAAAACAACGAATGGCAGTTAGTAGAGAATATAGGGAGTCGGGATTGGAGTGGGTGTGCGACTGCTTTAGTTGTGTTAGCTGGTGGGAAGAAAATAGGGTTTGAGTTGATATACAAATTATATAAGAATTTTATCACACAAATGGAAGTGATCAAACGGGTGTATGTGGATGTGTTACTTCCGACTATTAAAGAGAAACAGAGTGAGTTAGAGATCAAAGAAAAGAAAGAAGAGAAGAAGAAAAAGAAGCGAACGGTGTCATATGTTGGGGATGAGATGTCGTCGCATTTCATTAAGCTTTTAAGTCCATTAGAATCGTTTGAAGACCTTTATAACGTGACTTTAGAGATGTATGGCTACTTAATGATGTTATATAGTAACAACTCGTGCTTCAAGATTTGGGAGTTCTATGAGAGGTTTTTCAGGAAAGTTGAGAAAGAGATGATTACATATGCGGATGCCTTCCCTAAATTGTTTGAAGTCCTTAATATCATTCGAGTCGTCAAAAGTCCTTTATTGAAAGAGATCAGTGACATGGAGTCGAAGATAACAGAGGATGAGAGTACTGACTTGTTTAATAAACACACCGACTTGTTAACAGTCTCTATCATCCCTTTCAAGTTTATGGCAAGGTTATATGACCTATCAGTCCAATATAGAAAAGTTAATAAAGACTTTTCTCGCTCCTATTTTGAGCGCTTTGAGACGGTCTTATCACGGTGCAACGAGTCTTTAAAGTTTGAAGATATCTTGTCTATAGAACATGTCTATTCAACACCTTCAAATGAATTTATCGTCTACTTATCCCCCATGAGAGACTTAGTCCTCCAATTAACTCGTCCGAATGTCAGAGAACCGAAATATCGAGAGATCTTCCTCTTAATGTTTCGACTGTATACATCCCCTGAAGTGGTGATGACTCATTTAATCCCACACGCTTCTATTGAAGAAACTTTGGATAGGAAGGCACAGATCTTAATAGTCTTGAAGCAGTGGATGCAATCATATCCAAGCGACTTCTCAGCACTTGGTCTTGCAGAGCAACGCCTTCTCAGTTTCTTAAAGTCTTCCCGAGAGCCATTTACGAAGATCAAACAAGAGAAAGCCGTAGTGTTAGAATTGTTCCATCAAATTAAAGGGAAACCCAATTTTGTGGTGTACCAGCCGTTGTCTTTTGAAAGCACGGAATTGTGTTATACCGACTTTTTAGGAGATGTGAATAAAATCTCCAATTCGATGACGTACGTCTACAAGAAACTCTTCATTCGAATCAAACAAGTCGAGTTGCTGTATTACTTGGACAAGAATAAAAAAGACCAAACAGGGAATATTAAAAATATGGTGGACTCTTTTAATGGCTTGTCGAAGATGTATATGACGATGTTTAATAATACGCCACAAGAGAAGAAATTAAATCTCCTTGAAAACACTATTAAGATGTTGGACGTCTTCTTAAAGAGAGACAGAAACTACCACGCAATCTGTGGTATTGTATTCTCCTTCGTCAGAATCAACGACATCGAAACTCTCAAGAAAAAGTTGCCCAGTGATGCTAAGAAAAGATACGAGTTCTTCGATAACTTGTGCTTGTTCGAAAGTAACTATAAAAACTTGAGAGAAAAAATCGCTAATTCAGAACAACCACTCCTCCCCTTCATGGGAACTATCTCGAGAGACTTGGTCTTGGCTTCGGAATATAACGCTTCAAAGGAAAAGGAGTTGTACAACCTTAACAAACTCAGAATCATGCATGGGGTCGTCGTAGATATTATTAACTATCAACCAGGGGAACCAACTGTGCCTTCAGAAATCGATCAGAACTTCCATCAGAAGTTCTGCCAGATGCATGGTATTTAAACTACAGATGTGTTTTGTTGCTTATATATTTGAGTATAATATCATTATAGTATAGTATTTTTATAGTATATAATAATATATTATTATTATATTATTATTATTAAAATAATATACTATAATGATCTTATACTAGAGTTATAATAATTATATTAAAATAAGTCATACCAACGATAATTTACAAAGTGTGGAGACTCTCAAAAGTCTCTGATGTTATAGGTGTACAAGAAATAGGCGACGACTGCATGTCCAAGAAAGACACCAACAAGAAGTGCCATGAACTTCAACGACTGTACACCTTCACGTTTTGCATGGTCAAGCGCCTCTTCAACAGTCGGTTTGACAGAAACAACTTGTACTTCTGAAATGTGGTCGGGTGTGATGGGGACAAACAACAACTCAGTCATATCCTTTCAAGTTTTCAATTCACTTCTTTTTTGGTGCTCTTCTGTCTGTCGTATCTCTCAATATTTTTGTTGTGGATTCTCACATAATAAGCCCGAATGTGAAACACTTTGTGTGGTAACACATCCCTTTCATTTTCGATGAAAAATAAAAACTAAATTCATCAAATGTTTTTATTATACACTTCTTAATAAGTTACTAGTGATATATAGTACTTCGGTATTAATAATGTTGTAGTTTTGCTTTGTAAATCTTTTTTTAATACGAAGGCTATATATGGGCCGTCTATTTATAATAAGGCTTTGCAGCAGACTATCATGGTAGGCACTCTCCGCCTAGACACTCCACTTAATTCCTGTATAATTTAATAAACTATAATAAACCATACACAATAGTTTACATTGATCCACTATGACCACAGGATCTTTCTGCCACAAACTCCACAAAAATGACTTTTTTCAATATTACTATAAAAATGATGGCAAAATAAGTTATTATGTTAAAATTTGTCTTATTTCACTGCTAATAAATACCAATTCGGTTTAAAACAAATCTAAATGCCGTGAGAAATTGCTCAGCCATTTGCACTATCTTTAGAACACTTTCTTTATTGGATCTTATAATAGATTCCAAGTTCGCAGTACTTTGGAATGGAATTTGCTATAGTAAACTGTATTATAAAATATTATATGTGAGAATATAAAATTTAATAGATTTTAAACTATATAAAATTGATACAAATCTAAACCGAATTCAATAAAAATTTAAACTTTAAGGTTAGACATCCTTTTTAGTTTCGCTTTGGTTAATTTTTTCTTCTTTTTCTTTTTTCTTTTTAGCAAGAGCTTCTCTAATAGCGTTATACCCTTTTTTCCAGGCTAAAATCAGGTTTAACACAAGTTTAAGTGATTTGATCACGGCGCTCCAAGTTGAGTAAATATAAATCATAACTGAAGACAAATAGAAAATCATCATTGAGACTTCGTCGAGGGATCCAACTATAAACCTGACGAGTCGGAAGAAATTTTTGATTGGGTAAAATGGGAGGGCAATAATAGTAGACGTCACAGGGACTTTTTCGTAGAACCAATCTCCGATAGTGAAGAGCTACCGGTGAGTCGTTTTTAGTATCATTTAATTATAATTATACTATAACTATATTCATAAGCCGTAATAATATATAATATATTATAATATATTATAATATAATAATAATAATATATTATATTATATTATAACTATAAAACAAACTATTTCTTGAATCTTTGTTAGACCCCCTGTCTTTTGATCGATAAAGGCCCAGAGTCTTGCGAACAAGACTAAAAAGAGTAAAATATTTAACACGTCGGACAAGACGTTTAACACTTGTCTCATATGTTTTGAGTACATTTTAACGAAGGGGTATTGCATCATATAGTCATTAGGTCGAGGGAGTGTATTGAGTTTCTTATCTAATACAAAGTCTTCTATTTCAGAGAGGTATTTCCTTTCGATATAAAAGTAGACACAACGCGTGTCTACGCCTCTCAGAAGTACTCGTTCATTCAACTCGATGAAGAACTTAATTCTCCCATAGACTTGATATTCTAAAGAAAAGGCACTAACGTTGTCCCAATAGATTTTTAAGTCTTCATTCTGGAGATGTGCTTCTAAATACTCGGCGCGTAATTCCATTAACCCATTCCGATGGTAAACACTGTCTTTAATAAATTCAATTTGATGGACGTTTCCTTTCATACAATTTTGAAATTGAAGTTTTTTTTGTAGTCTTGAACTGAAAACTACTCGTACTATTTTATCGGAGACTTGGTATATCCAAATTACCATAAATTCTCATACAAATCATCAAAAAATAAATTTTTTATTTCCGATATCCGTGTTTTTAACTCACTTCTTAACTAAAATGTTATTAAATTGTTATTAAATTGTTATATATCCCATTTTATCATAACTTTAAAATGTTATTTGAATCACAAAAAACAATTCAAAAAGGATGAGAAACTTAAAAAGATTAAAGAAGGATGCTTGCGCCATTACAACAAATGATGTCATTAAGTCCACGTCTAGCCATTCAGAATGCGTTTCAGTTTGGACTGATAGTTGCTTCTGCTGTTATAATATGGAAGACTTTGTGTATTCTTTTAGTGACTGAAGCCCCTATTGTAGTCATTTTGAGTGGTTCGATGGAACCTGGGTTTAGACGAGGTGACTTGATGTTCTTAACAAATCGTGGTGGTGTAGATAATGTCGAAATTGGAGATATTGTTGTGTACAACTTACCATCGAAAGGTATTCCAATTATTCATCGAGTGATCGAGAAGCATAAGTTTGACTCATTTCTTCATTTTATTCAAAGACTTTTCAAGCGTGAATTTATATAATAACAACCAGCGACAAAAACGAAGAGATTAGACTCCTCACTAAAGGAGACAATAACCCCGTCGACGATAGAGGCTTATATGAAGGACCTATGTGGTTGAAACCGTATCAAATCATTGGGAAGTCTTGGGCTCATGTGCCGTTTGTTGGGATGATTACTATAGCTTTGACCGACTACCCAATGCTTAAATGGACAGTTATTGCATTACTCTTGGTCTCAGTGTTGCTTAACAAAGATCAGTGATTGATTCATTGCTTCTTTTTTTTTTCATATAGAATTGAGGATGGTAGTTAAAATTGTCTAATTTCAATAAGAAACCCTAAATGGAATAAATCAAACACATGTCAAGCGACCCAACGAACATCCAAAACATCTCACAATTAACCGATCAAATCAAAGAATCTCCTTCACCACAAATACCAAATCCTCAACCATCTTCACCACAATTGGAGGAAACAAAAAAAAGCCAAGCAAAGACCGAAAAACAAAAAGAAAAGAAGTCGAACAAGACGGAAAAAAAGAGGGAAACAAAGGGAAGTCAACGGCAATCAGCTCCTCGAGTTGGTGAACCATATGACACACACAATTTTTGTCAAATTTGTCAGGATTTCGAGAAGATGACACACGCGTTTCATACCATCATCCCAAAACCAACAACGTTCTGGAGAACATTGTTGGGTCAGCAAGTGCTCAAAAAAGATAATATTATCATTGGAAATATCATGAGACTCAACGTTTTAGTCATAGCATTTGTTCTGGGGGGTGAAAAAAAGACGCGGATTGAGATTAAGACGGCACAAGAAAAATTGATATTGGAACAACTTTGTCTCAAATATTGCATTTTCATCACACTGTTTGTTGACAACACAGCAACATTGGAAAAAACAATCATGTTCAAAAAAATCATACGACTCACAACCCGTGACGTGAAAGAAATGGTAACTCTTTGTTCCAAAGCTAGAGAAAACAATCCAATTTCAACCACACTTGCTCCTCAAAAACAGGAAGAACAAAAAGAGTCAGATATAGGAATTTACATTATCATGGATTTGGTTAAAAAGAAAATAAAGGAATTCAACATCTCATCATTTGGCGAGTTTTTGATTTATTATCAAGTCATTGAGAAGGCCATTTGCAAAGAGTTGAATGTGTCCAATTTCAAGGCTTTGAAACATGAAGAATTTCTGTGTTTTTGTGGGAAGTATGTGGATTTCCCATTTGAAGTGAAGAAGAGGAGCAAAATTATCGGACTTGATCAAATTGTACGAGTGAATGTACTCAGTTTAGAAGCACCATTTTCGGTGATAACCAAATTGATCAAAAACGCGAGGTATCTTGTCAATTTGTTTAATATTAAAGAGTTGCGAAAAGTTGACATTGAAAGTATTGTCGAGAAAAATGACTTTGAAGACTGTCAATTTATGGAAATTTCCAAACACAATATCATCAAAGTCCCCGTGTACGACGGATCAAAGATACAGAACCAAGTTGAAGAACATATCGAAGACTTCAACTTTCTTGCAGGAATGCTTGTTGCCCATTTATTCAACGAAGAGAGTTGCAATGGTGAAACGATCTCAAACTATGTGAAAACAATTGTGGAACTGTCAAGTTGTCGGGTTCAAGTTATGACCTCTGAAGTTTCGAGAGCAACCCTGGCGATCAATATTTTGAATGAATTTCCAGAAGAGTTGATAGGCGTCGAGGGACTTGTTTCATTTTTTTTGGAAGCATTAGGAATTGAAATGAATGCGTTAGTTGCGTTGTCGTTAAACAACACATTGTTTTTGAGACCAGAAATCCGCGAGATGATCAGTGCTTGTTTCCCAGAAGCTGCAAGTCTTCCAGACAATGTGATGCAGTTTATCAATGCACATCAACACGAAACTGAAAATACTATTCCACTTCCCAAAGAAATCGTGATCGACATGTATGAGAGAAACGGCGAACAAGTCCAAGTCGTCGATTTTGAAGACCCCGAGTTTATAACGATATTAAAAAATGCGTCGGAAAATAACGACTTGGACAAGCTTCAGTCGATTTTGGCCTACATGTGCCAAAACCCAGTTGTATTCGCAGAGACTTTTCGTCGAAAGGAGGTGGTCAACGGTAAGTCAACTGAACTCAAGCAATATTCAAGCTTTTACCACAACTTGAAGAATTTGAGATGGTTCCCCACCACGCAACGGACAATTGAGTATCACGACCATGTTTTTAACCAGAAGGAACTAAAGTGCTTACAACTGTTGACAACGCCGTTTATTGTACCCGCACCACTTTCCCATTACTTGGCTACAGCACTACCTCTGTCCCCTATTGAAGTTGCTTACATACTACACAGCAAAATCACAAAAATTACGGATGAGTACGTCGACCTCCTCTCGTTTATCCCAACAATGGACGGCGAAGTTTATAACAAATACATTGAACTTCCAATAATTCTTGTTGAAAAAATGCACGACTGTTTCTTAACGAGTATCGAGCAGCATAGCCAATGCGGTTGCAATGAAACGATCAAATGGGTTAGTCCTCAAAACGTATTTCTACGAGACCCTTCGTCATTCTTCCCAACCATTTGCACTAATAAGACGAGAAGAAACGCATTCCTCGGCGTTGGTGTTAAACCTCAGCCAAGTGTATTGGATTACATACGGGCGTTGGTTTTGATTGGCAATTCCAACCAAACCACCGACCAGAAAAAACTGACGATATTAAAGAAGGTGATGAAGGAGATAGTGTTACAGTTCAACACCCTAACTATAACTCCTTTGATGATAAACCCAATACGTTCTTTAAAGGTACTTGTCAATGACTTGGGTGAGTTTTCTTCTCTTGACGATACGATGTTTTATAACGACATCTCGTACTTAAACAAGGACCTTCCATGTGAAATTAAACGTCACTTATTCACTTTAGACATTCAAAGTTCTTATAACATGAATGCGTTCTTGGACTCAGTTTCAATCCAAAAGGCGAGTAGTGTGATGACATTCATTATTGACGAACAGTATGAAGTTGATTACAGTCTTACGGAAATTATCCGTCAAGTGTTGTCAGAAGTCCTTCCATTGTTAACAGAAGGCAAGACAAGAACACTTGTTTCTAATTACCAAAAAACAGCCCAAAATATCACTGTCGTTACGCACAATTCTCTTCTTGTCAATCTCAACTTCTCGTTTTATTCTTGTTCATCTCCAATCTCAAGTCATCTCACTGCCGTCATGATTGGAAACAATCTCCACGTGTTGAAGCGAACCGGTATAAGTTCATTTGACTCACTGTGTTTCCTCTCACGCCTTTTCTTTGGGTGTGTGGACGAGTCGTTTATCGGAATGATGTTAAGCAAGCTGTCTGTGAAATCGCCAATCCAAGTTCCAATGGTGGAACGAGTAGAAGGGATAAGCGCCGAAAAAGAGGAGGTGGACTGGGAACTAATCAACACTGGAAAGGAAAATGCCGTGGAGATTTTTGACGATGAATTTGCGGTGAACGTCAACCCATATCAATACACAAAAGATAAAGAGCTCGCGATACAGACTGGGTTTGGTGGTGAGGAGTTTGTGTACCAACTGTTGAAAGAGACTTATCATGACAGAGTTGAATGGATCAACGGGAAAGACAGTAACGGTGAGTCGACTGAATTAGGAATGCCTTTTGATATTGTGCTCAAAGACGAACACCAGAACATTTTGTCTTATATAGAAGTCAAGACAACAGTAATGAGATCAACACCAATTAAAATTTCTTACCGAGAATGGCTGTTTGCACAAGAGAAGAGAAAAAAGTTTTGTATTTACCGAGTCCAATGTTTTGGGAGTAACAAGCTTTACGTTAATGTCATTGTAGACCCAATCGGAAAGTGGATGAAAGGCGAAGTTGAAATCAAAATCAATTTTTTATAGTCTTTTGATTGAAGTCTTGATTGATTTATTCTAAAATGTTGAAATAAAAATATAATATTATATTATAATAATATATTAAAAATTAACATGTTTTATTTTATAAAAAATTATAGAATAAATGATATTAAAAAAACAATAATTATAATATTTAACAACGAATTTTTTTTACAAGTGTTGTTTTTTCAAATACAATACTTTTATTGTGCGTTTTTCATTCTCTGAAGATGGACTGTAATGTTGTTGTACAATATAGTCGATATTATATATTGTTTTCAAACACGTCATGTAGTTAATAACAAGTGCCTTCCTAGCTCAGTCGGTAGAGCGTGCGGCTTTTAACCGTAAGGTCGGGGGTTCGAGCCCCCCGGGGGGCGTTTTTCTTTTTTCTTTTTTTGATTTTTATTTTTAGGTTATAAACAATATAAACAATAACAATTCAAGAAGCATTTTTGGTCTAAGGGCAGAATTCCACCCTTCCAAGGTGGAGATCCGGGTTCGAGTCCCGGCAAATGCATTTTTATTTATTCAAAAACTTATTTTAAATGTATTTGTGTATTGAAAATAAAAACGACAACGGCAGGATTTGAACCTACGCCTCAAATGAGAAATGATTTCGAGTCATACGCCTTGGACCACTCGGCCACGTTGTCTTATTGACTTTATCTTTATATTCTTCTCATGTTAATATATAGGTGTGTCTTCAAAAATTATTTCATAATAAATCTTTTATATATAATTTACTATACTAAAGTAGTTTATTATAAAAAAAATAAAAATATTTTTATTATGTTTGTTTCAACTAATAATAACTAATAAAAATACTTATTATGTATAATAAAAACAATTAATAGTAATTTAGTAAATAATTAAAATATTTGGTTTAAATTATTAAAAAGAGCTGGTAAAAAGAAAAATATAAATAAACAAGTAAATATAAAAACCATATTTTTTTTAAGTTTTTATAGTTTTTATTATTAATATTCTTTGTAAATTAAAAATAGTTAATTATGTTTAATTGATTAATTATATTATATTATAATTACAGTTAGT